TAGGTGCATTTTCTCTCAAACACGATGTCATATGCATCAATAAAAATTGATTTTATTGCGTTTAAAAGACCTCATCGAGTCTCGACTAAAAGTGTCGACTGCTTATATCGTTGATAAGCCAAATTTTCTTGATCAGCAAGAACGATGTTTTTCTAGCTGTTTTTTTCTCACACTAGCCAACGTTTTTGCCAGTTTCGATTTCTTCAATTCTGTGATAGTAACGTATTGGCAAACTGACGTATGTTTTACTTTGACGTTAATAAGAATTTTGCGGGGGAGTGAACTATCTACCAATTCGACCTTCTCAAACCTTACAAGTGAGTGAAATTCCTCAGTTTGTTAAGTAGTGCGAGGCGAATAGGCTTTAATTCCTTGACTGTTCCAGTATTCGGTGATGATTTATTTGTTATGAGTAAGTAAAAATATTCATCAAACCTGGTCATAGTTAATTTTTTTTTTGCGATACAAAAAAATGAAAAATCGGCCGTGCATTAGAGGTTTGAATAAGGAAGTGTAGAGATGCTAGAAAATTGTTAATTGAGCAAGCTATAATAGTATCTCGCTAATTAGAAGCCATTTTTTGCTCACCCATCCGTCTATCTACTCGCTCTTGGCCCATTGTTATTGGTGTGTTTCTTTACGGAAAACAGCCTAGAAATATAAGTAGTACAAGGAACGGCTTAATTCTAGGCTTAATTCTACTCGAAGTGACATCAGTACTAAAGTTCTTTACAGCAACTAATCAGTATCGTAATTTTTACCAGAATAGTGAAATATGTGACCTGATTCTTTCTCCTGGAAGTTGCAAACGTGGAAATTTTAACTTCAGTAGTGATGTCATCGCACCTTCTGCACTATCCGCATTACACAGATTTTAAAGAAGTATTGAGGCTAGCACCAAATGTCTAAATAGAAACATTGGAGAGCTTTCACGTTTGTAAAGAGTACGAAAGCGAATGTTTATCAAATGACATATATGAAATATACATTCCTTTTTAAGTTACTAATTACCCTAGAGCTCGCATCTTTTCTTAAATCAGCTTTAACATTGTTGAAATTTCGGTAATCAGAACCCACCTGTCCTACTTCATGCTACACGAAAGGGCGCGGCAACCGATTGTTAGCTTGTATAGACAGAGAGAGTGGTTCCAAATGCGCAACTACAAGAAGTCGGTGCAGTGACCGAGAGAAAAAATTATTTGGAGGTCTGTACCCGTTTCCTTCACTGAATTTGGCCGAGTGTCAGCAAGTAGATGTATAATTGGCATCAAGTCTCACCGTCAGTATGTTCCATGGACAATTGCTGATGCACCACCTGCCTTTAGGATCTTCGTCTCAGTAAAAATCTCCGGCCAAAGATATCGAAACTCACACCATCTTCGTCGGAGTCCTTATATGCTGCCGGTTATTGCGGAGTATAAAAAGAAGAACATCAAAAAAGCGCAGTGAATTTGAAAGATCAAAATGAACATTTCCGTGTAGTCAAAGATGACTCTAAGTAGAACTTCAGTGTACAAAGAAATCGGATTAATTACACTGATCATTCAACTACCTAAGAAGAAATAGCCAGGAGTGCAGTTCTGCACTAAAAAGACTTGATAGGCTTCACTTGTTTGAGACAAAATGATTACTACTGAGGCAACGAAGGCGAATGTCAGGCAGACATATATTTTGAGATCTACAATAAAGTTGTTGGAAAATCCATTTTATTCATACTTGACGACATCTGTGAAAACATGCAAACCGAAAAAAGGTTAAAAACGATTATAGCAAAAAATAAAAGAATTTACAGAGGGTGTTGAATGCCCCATTCACGCTCAACGGAACGACAATCTCCGAATGCTCCAGTTACGTCTATCTAGGTCTTGAAATCAACATGATGAACGATCTAGCTGCAGAGTTGAGCAGGAGAAAACGAGCGGCCTGGGGAACGTTAAGAGCATCGAAGATGTAGTGAAGAGGACAAAGAACATCCGACTCCGTGCCCACCTTTTCAACTCGACAATTATCCCTGCCCTGACGTAGGTAGCAGAAACCTGCTCGCTACGTAAGCAGGATAATAGATCTTTTGGAGTTATCAAACGCGCAGTCGAAAGGTCGATGCTAGGAGTATCCCGTATCTCGCAAATGAGAGAAAGGATCCAAAGTTCCGACCTACGTCAACGATCGAAAATCAGAGACGCCGTTCTACACGCCAAGATATCGAAAATAAGGTGGGCCGGACACGTGATGCCCTTCAATGACAACCCATGGAAGAGAGCCGTTACCGACTGGACTCCTCGGGACGTCAAGCGCTCTAAAGGAAGACCACTGACCCGTTGGTCCGATTTCTTCACGAAAGCGATAGAAGAAAGATATGATGCTCAGCGAATCTCTAGGGCGAGGAGGACCCACTGAGCTACTCTTGCACGCGATAGGGAAAAATGGATGAGTTGCTGGTACCCGACAGGTGATTGTGTGCCATTCTCAGCTCATCAAACTCCCCTCGACCTATTTTATCTTTCCAACTATTGAAAGCACTTTTCGAGGAAATACTAAAATTATATTGATAAGTGCTTGTGAAAAGTGGGGCCAGTGTGGTGGAGTTGTTAGAGGTGTCGTAAAACATTCACGATCTCATGCCCCGATCTCATTGAGCCTTCCATTCTTCCGGAGTCGACAGTTTGGTCGTAGACTTGCCTCGAAGAACATCAGCGCTGACTTGATGCAAGGTTCTCTGCTTCGAGCCAGTGCAATCACCTAATTATGTATTCAGTCACCTCTAACCATCCCTAGTGAACTCTAGTGCATAACGCAGCCCTTAGGTATTGATCAACGTCAGAAATTTCATTCGCTTATCTCACACACGCGTCAGTATTTTCCTGGACCAGCTCTCTATTAACCTCAACATTCTTCAATTATTCACATTTTTTGTTCTGTAAGCCAAGCACGAGAATGTTAAAATAGAATTTTTGCAACCAGCTAACGTTCAGCACTTTAGCTTCTTTCAGAGCCTGGAAAAATCTGGCAGCTCATAACCTGACTCGAGGTGCACTGCAATATAAATTGGGCCCTCTAGAAATGCGAATTGATGTCAGGTTCTCTGAGATGATGGAATATCGATCAGATAGGTCAGAATCCTAATTGAAATTGAAAAGAACCGTCAAACTTTCCATCTTTTCGTTGTCGACAAACTGGTGCTATATTTGACAAAGACATGACAGCTCCCTCCCATTCGTGGTGGGGAACTCCTTAGTAAGACAAATCAGTTCAAATGATTAAATATTATTCTTAAATTCTGTTCGTTGTCCACGCCAATCGAAAAATAGTATATGGCTCTCCGCATCTGTTTGCCATCTTCATCCCCATTCGTGGCCACAACAAGCCCTACTAAGAATTTTCGGTTCTTTTCGTTTATCCGGCGGGTAAGAGGAAGATGACCTCTTTCTCTGGACAAGAACTCTTCGTGAGAGCGTTAGTGATTATTCGAAAGCTCAATTTCGCAAGACTGTTTTACGCGTTTGTTTTCTGAAATGGCCCTTTTCAAGCAGTATAGCATTCAAAACGAACTCACGTTTCACTCGCTCCATGCACTTATCTTATTAGATGACTTATATTTCGCTGGACAAAACTCTTTCATTAGATTGCTAGTGATCGTTCGATACCTCAAAGCTCGAGGAAATCAAAGTGCTTTTTTCTCAAAAGTTTGCCCGACAGCGTCGTAGCAACAAAAAGTTCTGTGTTCCGTACACGCGTATTTCTCATAGGATAAACTGCTTTCCTTCAAACGATAACCAACCATTCGATAGTGTAAGCTTCGACAATCCCGAAGTTATGCTTAATTCCGGAAATGACCGTTTCAGTGCAGTATAGCAAGGAAATAATATTAAGGTGGCGGGTGAGTGAGAATGGGTGCGTGTTGATGGGTGTGGGTGGGTGGGTGGATGTAAAGAGTGGGGGTGGATGGGTGTGGGTGGTTGGAGTTGAGGGGGGGAGGGGTAGGCGAGAGGATGGGGGTGGGAGGTGGATTTGGTGGGATGGAATGAGTGGGCGCTTTGTGGTTATGGGGTTGTGTGGATTTAGGGCATGTAATCTAGAAGTGGGTATTGACTAAGCACGTATCACAAGATTCCATAGGCACAGAGTTATAGGTCTGCGATACACGAATTGAATTAAGCATAAGAATCTACTCGACATGTGGAATGGGAAATAAACCTCCTTCATCGCGATTTACCAGACTGCATTATCATTATTTAAAAAGGCTTTTTCTGTTCCAAACGCTTACCTATGATTCCTTTACGACGACATGCAAATCCGTCATAGCGGCTATCTCCCCAATCCACAACCGTCACTCTATCGAACCGAAAAGCCGTGATTTTTTTGCTCAACAAAATATTGGCTGGTATTTCTATCATATTATACCTTTATTTCGAGTGTTTCTTTAAGACCACGCTCAAATCTCAATAGATCCTTTCATATTATTTGAGCCAACTTGTCATGTGGGCTGGTAAGAGCTCTTGTACAGCTCGATACACGTGTTTCGTCCTTACAGACTCGTCATTCGGGCAGAACCCGTAGTCTTTCGATCTTTTTGTAGTCAGTTCTCTCGGGAGCCCTACTGTCCCTACAGAGAGTCATCGAAGACGAACGTTTCACACTTTAAGAAATTTCCACCTAACACAGAGTGTTGTACACTCGATTACTCTTTAGCTGGTATTTTTATCATATTATACCTTTATTTCGAGTGTTTTGTTAAGACCACCCTCACTGACGAATTTGTAAGGACGAAACACGTGTATCGGCCACAGACAAGTTGGCCCGAATAATAATGAAAGGATCAATTGAAAATATTGGCTGCTGTTCTTATCTCATCTGAAACTGGAAAAGAGCTACGGAAATCTTAGGTAAATTCATATGTCACCCTATGATTCAGTCCCTCAATTACATACCTGAATTATCTGCAAAACTCATTTTCGATGTCTTCATTAACCTCTAATTGCTGAGTAGTAGGCGGAACTTTGAGCCTCGTGCGGGAATCGAACCCGCATCTCACCCTTTCCCGAGATATGCCTTAAATACTGTACCACCAAGGCTTTTCTCTCTTAAACAATATAATAGGTTGAATACACTTTATACTTTAGCTCCGTCATCACAGTGTTGTTTTTTACTGTGCGGATCCCAGTACTTCTAGCATTCAATTCGTTTTTTCTTCTTCTTAAACGGCATAGAATACTGGTTAAGCGAATTTCCTTGCAATCGCGAGGATAACCTTGCTGTGGCGTTCCATAGGACGTTGTTGTTGATTGCCGCAGAGAGGTGAGGTGAACTTGGCTCCACGCACCCGTGACCAACATCACAACCACTTGGCCACGGCGTTATTCGTGTATATGCAAACCATTTATTATTCGTTAGTACAAGTTGTGGTTAGTCATCGAGTGTTCCGCTTTCAAAAGAAAGAATCGGTCTATACATGCTTGAATCTTCCTTTGGAATCACGGAGCCGAGATTCGAGGTTTCACGACTGCCGACGATTCAGGCACTTTCCTTTGTATTCATCGGCTTTTCGTCGTCTTTCGTTTTTGTTCAAACCCAGATTTGCTGGAGCGGCCGACTTTTTGACAAATGCCTTCTTCGAACTGCTTCCGATTTGCTTCGTAACGAGCGAGATCGGCTGCCGTGTAAAATTCTCGGATCACCTGTATTACCTGTCGTCCCGTTGATCGTCGAGTGACTCGAGCGGGGTACCAGCAACTCTTCCATTTTTCCCTATCGCGTGCAAGAGTAGCCCAGTGGGTCCTCCTTGCTCTAGGAATTCGCTGAGCATCATATCTTTCTTCCATCGCTTTCGTGAAGAAATCGGACCAACGGGTCAGTGGTCTTCCTTTAGAGCGCTTGACGTCCCGAGGAATCCAGTCGGTAACGGCTCTCGTCCATCGGTTGTCGTTGAAGCGCATCACGTGTCCGGCCCACCTTATTTTCGATATCCTGGCGTGTAGAACGGCGTCTCTGATTTTCGATCGTTGACGTAGGTCGGAAGTTCGGATCCTTTGTCTCATTTGCGAAATACGAGATACTCCTAGCATCGACCTTTCGACTGCGCGTTCGATAACGGCAAGTGATCTTTCATCCTGCTTACGTAGCGACCAGGTTTCTGCTGCATACGTTAGGGCAGGGATAATTGTCGAGTCGAAAAGGTGGGCACGGAGTCGGATGTTCTTTGTCCTCTTCACTACATCTTCGATGCTCTTAAACGTTCCCCAAGCCGCTCGTTTCCTCCTGCTCAACTCTGGGGCTAGGTCGTTCATCATGTTGATTTCACGACCTAGATAGATGTAACTGGAGCATTCGGAAATTGTCGTTCCGTTGAGCGTGAATGGGGCATTAGAAACCCATCCGTTCCTCATGAACATTGTTTTCGTTAGATTCAGTTGAAGACCGATCTTTCCACAGGCGTTATCGAAATCAGTCAACATTCGTTCCGCTTGGCTGATGTTTGGTGTTATGAGAACGATATCGTCAGCAAAGCGAAGATGGTTTAATTGTCGACCGTCAATTTTCACTCCCATTTCGTCCCATTCTAATGTTCGCATGACGTTTTGTAGGGTGGCAGTGAATAGTTTTGGCGATATTGTATCGCCTTGTCGAACCCCTCTTCTTACGTCAATGGTGATATTGTTGTAGAATGGAGATATTCTGGTCGTGAAATCTTTATAAAGCTCACGAAGGATCATTATGTACCGAGTAGGGACGCCCTGGTTATCCAGAGCCTCTATAACCGCTTCTGTTTCCACTGAATCAAAGGCTTTTTTCAGATCGATAAAAGTGAGACAGAGTGGTTGTTTGTACTCTCGCGAAACTTCAATGAGTCTTGTGATCGTGTGGATGTGGTCCATGGTACTAAATCCTTTTCTGAACCCTGCTTGTTCGCATGGCTGTCCTTCGTCCAGTGTTCTGTCAATCCTGTTCAGGATGACTCTGATGATGAAAATGATGAGGATGATGAAAATTCTCGGATATGGTGACGATATTCGCCGTCTTACGGACCTCTTTCGGCGTAGCAAATCGTTACAGACCTTGCCGGTTATTCTTTCACTATGGACAGAGACGGACACCTAACACCACTTATTCGACTCATCTTCTTGATGGACACAGGCCCACTTGTATACCACCTAGCTTAGCCTAGGGCTTCGAGTCCCTTTTAGTCTAGGCACGGATGAAGGCATGTTAGATTGAATGATATTAAGAAATTGGCTCTGCTCTGTGAAACAGTTATGAGCGAATTAAGCTAGAAAACGAAACGGCACGATTAATAAGCACTTCTAATAATGCTAGGCCTTTGATCTTCTTCGATGACTGTCTACGCTTGACAACACAAGGGTAACGAGTTCTAAGTATCAAGCTAGAGTTGACGTTGAGTATTGATGTAAACTGAATCAACACGATTAGGGCTTGACGTCGGCTAAAAATGTTTTGAATAGAAGAAGAAAATTTCTAACTCGTAGCGGGATTATTTCTGTTATAAGCGGCTCAACAAAACATGTTGAATCAAGACTCATCCAAAGAAACAGACGACCCACCTTGAATTTTCGTTGAACAAGTTCTGTGACATAATTCACAGTCAGAGCTACTACAGTGCTAGACACAATCTTCCGTAAGAAATGAGCACGGTAGAGACCTAGAAATAGGTTTAAAATGGTTACAATTTTTAACACCCCAGTCGCTAACGCAAAATAGTAGTGTAACTTGACAGAGTAGAAGTATATGATCAACTAGAATTCTTTTCATTTAGTCGTTCTTGCAAGGGCATGATGTTGTTAATAATAGGTTGAGGAGAAAGTTTCCGGAATTTGCTTATAAAAACTTTATTTGTGCATCAATTAAGTTCGAACAAAAGACAATTTAATAGTCAAAGTATTTGGTTTTTGATTTCAGCGATCGAAGTCCTGCTTCGTGGAGAATCGTCAAAATTGTCTTCTGATCACAAGCAAACTCATCGCCCAACATTCGTGAAGTGAGCGATGGGGACTCTTCGATTCGGTCAAGAACTGCTTGGCGGTCGACTTCTCGTGAACGTCCCGATCGTGGCTTGTCAGACAGACTCTCATTTCCTGCCTTGAACTCCTTGAAGTGATCGTAGGCAGCTGTCTTTCCAACAGTTCCTTCGCCCCATGCCTCATTGATTCGACGAACAGTGTCAGCTGCATTTGTGCCCACTTTGTACTCGTGAAGCATCAACAGTCGTTTCTGTTCGCGGTTCAGTTCCATCTTGCGGCAGAATAGAAGAGTTGTATATCAATCGATGCGCAAGAAAACGAGCTTTCAAACCATGTGAAAATCACATATAAAACATGCGAACATTTTAAAGTTATGGGCAAATTCCGGAAACTTTCTCCTCAACCTGTGAACTCTTGTTGATGTGCAAAACTTTGCACCCTTGGTGGGAATCGAACCTGTATGTCACCCTTTCAAGGGGCATGTGCCTAGCACTAGCGAGGCAACTGTTCTGCTATCAGTCTCTCTCTGCGATACATATCGAGCTGTCTGTTACGTAAAAGAAGTACAGTACCTGTCTCGCGACAGCTTCCTTCGTTGCCTTCATACTGACATAATATCGAAACTGTGATAATTTGCGGTTCAGAAGCAGCACTGACTAATGGGAACCACCACCTGCTGGTGGATCGGTCCGACTATGAACAACAATTAAAATCGTGTATGCTTATGATTTTAATCACATTACATGATAGTATACGCTTCGAAACTAAGTATCTAAATGATAACGCTCTCGGCCTAGATCAGTTTCTGAGGGAAACAGCATACCTTCAACTTCATCAAGCACTGTATGATGTAATTATACACATATCTGGACTGTAAATTGACTAGCGGTAACTTATCGATACATGATTCCGTGCTGATATTCTCCTACACAATTCTAGTACGAACTCGCCGATGCCGGAAGGTATGGAAGGCTCGGTGAGTCTTGGGCAGTGGAACGAGCTGTTGATCATTTGTTACGCGTCATGAGCGTCGCATATCGTGTTTTCCAGTTGAGCCTTATTCATGATCTTATGTGAAGACTATGCGATTGAACTTGATATTTTCAAAAAGAGCGATAAGCAGGAAAATTGCATGCTCATCATTTTTCTTCTCCCAGATAAAGCTTGAAATTTTCATTAAGGTTATACATCCGTTTTATCGATTGAGGCTAACTAGTTGTAAATTTGGAATCTACTTCAAAACAATTCCTTTCCTCCACTTGCCCTTCATCCTTCTTATTACGCGATAGTTCCAGCTGTGCTTGTCTATCGACGAAAATTTTCTCTGTGGAAGATCTGGTTGCATACCCCAGTTAAACGTTGTGTTGTTGATTAGATCCTACATTACATCACTCTAACACTAAGTGTGGCGTATAAGGTGTTTTCTTCTACGAGGATCAAACGTGAACACAAGTCTATGTTGCCATAGCAAGACCAAAGGAACGCTATTTTTGATTTTTAGCTTAAGGACGCTGAACCGAAAGTTGATGGTGCAGCTTAGAGATTCCTTATGTGAACAATTACCTTTTTGAGACGTGTGAAAACCACGAAATTCTCATGTTTCTCCACAACTTTTCACTAAGTTTAGATCGCTGATGCAGTATATAAACAGATGCCCAAATCAGATAGGTCAAACCCTCAGTGTCTTAACGGCATTTGATGGGTAATAGTCAGTGGTGTGATCGAGTACATAGCAGAATGGTCATCGACCTGATGTTATACTCCCTTACAAAGACCCTACGAGAGAAATGTGATGCCTTCATGATTTCACAAAAGGACAGAATGCTGCAGGACAAGCATAAATGGCAAGGCTCTGCCGGGAGAGTGTCGGTTCCATTCTTTCGATTTGATAAGTAGAAAAACGGCTTGCATAATATTGCTTTCTCTTTTGCAAATAAATTCAGTGATTCAAAGATTTCTCGAACGATTTCCACCTCGCCGCAATGTCGAATGAGTTCACAGGCTGCTGCATTGACGATGGCTACCTCAACGACACATTAAAAAGAAAAGGGGACTACTTGTTTCATTGAGGGAAAACTCATATGTTCTTTGATTTTGTT